CCTCCTCCTCCTCCTTGTCATCTGCTTCATCCTCATCCCCGTCTTCTTCGTCTTCTTCATCCTCATCACCTCCTTCTTCATCATCTTCTTCAAATAGTCACATTTCCTCCTCCTCTTCGACGTCCTTAGCTTCAGTCAGCATCAGTGCACAGCAGCATCAAAGTACGGCGACAGCGGCCAACACCACCACCACCACCACCACNCCTCCACTTCAGCACCTTCTTCTCCGACTTTTTCATCCTCTTCATCTTCCTCTTCCTCCTCCTCCTCCTTAGTCATTGCAAACTCGATCGACAGCAAATTAGCAGCTCTAGCGTCGAGTTCATCTTCATCCTCATCATCTTCCTCTTCTTCATCATCCTCTTCTTCTTCTTCCTCTTCTTCGCCGCCATTGAGAACACAACCGCACGACAATGACAGCGGCGTCGGCAGCATCAGCAGCGTGGAGAACCTCGGCGGCGGCGGCAGCGGCGGCGGCAGTGTGGCTTCTTCAGCTGGAGGGGCTCCTGCCACTACCACTGGCGGCAGGAGTTGTCCGATGTCAGCCAATGAGGATGATGATGATGAGGAAATGGAGGAGGATGACGAGGAGGATGATCGCTACTGTCTGATGGAAGGCGATCAGTCACCAGCAAAGGAAACAATCACGTCTGAACAGGCTGACAAGGTAAACAACAACAACAACAACAACAACAACAATAGGATTGGCGATCAAGACAAGTCGGACGACAACAAAGTAGCCTTCGGTGATGGTCGAAAAGGTGAAGAAGATGTGATTGCGAGTGAGGCAACAACCCTTCAGTCGATCACCTCCTCTTCAACGTCGAAGCGACGACATCTTCGGCATCAGAGGCGGTCATCTTTTGACCAGGATGAAGATGATGACGACAACAACAACAACAACAACAACAACAATACCTCTTCATCACCCTCATCACCTTCACTTCTCACCAACAATCGAAGCACTGATCTCGAACATCATCATCAAGGACAATCAGCACGAAGCAGCCACAGCAGCAACAGCAGCAGCAGCAACTGTACTGCTGTTTACGACTGTGACGACGATGAGGAAAGGCAACGGTCAGCCGAGCAAAGTGAGCTGTCAACCGCTGAACAACAACAAAGAATAAACCTCAAAGAAGGCCAGGACCAGGACCAGGACCAGGACCAGGACGACGAAGAGGACGAGGACGACCAGCGAGGTGACGACTTTGATNAAGTGAGCTGTCAACCGCTGAACAGCACCAGCATCAGCAACAACAACAAAGAATAAACCTCGAAGAAGGCCAGGACCAGGACCAGGACGACGAAGAGGACGAGGACGACCAGCGAGGTGACGACTTTGATCCCGCCGAGGTGCTGAAACGCATGAAGGTCGAACTGAAGGAGGAGTTTGATGAGGACGAAGAGGAAGAAAACGAAGAAGGCAGTAATTTGATGATGAAACAGCAGCAACAGCAGCACCAGAAAATGATGTCCCTGATGGCCAACAGTCAGCAACAGCAACAGCAACATCGAAAAAGTAAGCACTACCATCATCAGCAGCACGAACTATCATCCTCTTCTTCAAGTCGGCACCATTCAAAAGGAAGAGCAATCAACAGCAGCAACTTCGGTGGAAACGGCAGCAGTTCGACTTCTGACGCCGTCCTCGCCGCCGCCGCCTTTGACCACAACGCCACTATGGAGTACTTTCGAAAGATCTTCACGGGAACGCTGGCTTCAACAGCAGATCCTGCTGAAGCTGCTGCTTCCGCTTCTTCTTCTTCAAAGTCATCACAGCTGGCGGCGTTCACGGCGGCGGCTGCTGCAGCCGCAGCAGCTTTGAGCGCTTGCGGCGACTCTGCTGGAACTTCCTCATCTTCATCTTTAACTTCCATCGACGAGAGCAAGAAGCGACTCATTCAGGCACTACTACTTAAGCAGATGAATGGAGGTGGTGGTGACTTTGATTTGACCAGCGGTTTGGACGTGTCTTCGTACTTTGGCCCGCCGAACAGCAGCAGCAAAGGCTCGTTGATGCAGCAACAGCAGCAGCAGCAGCCAACTGTGGACGATCCTCAGCAGCGGTACTGCACCTCCTGCAACATTCAGTTCATCTCAGCGAAGACCTTCAAGGTAGGTGTCTATTTTTTCTCCTTTTCATCCTTTCATTTTGCCTATGTCTTGCTCAAAAGGTTAGCGAGTACGAAGGGCGCACCTGTTGCAAAAAAATGATCAGCACCAAAGAGAGAACAACTACAAAATGCACCAAAGCGCGCAGTGATGATAAGAGAGAGCTAGCTGTAGTGCTGATGATGAGGGCAATGTGATAGCCATATGTCAAGTTTATCAATTTAGTAGTAGTAGTAGCAGAGTTGAGGGTTTTGTTAATACTTTTGTTTTGTGCCTTATTACTAAGGCGCTCACCTGGTATTGTCTCCGGTTGACTAGTGATGAATGTGTGCGATATATGTTGCATTCTTCCCTATCACTCACTCACACACACACAGAGAGCGCGAGTACTTGAAGAGGAGAGAGAGAGAGAGAGAGAGAGAGCAGCGTGTTCATTCTCAAAACTGGTAAGAGTAGTAGTGCAATCATCATCACCATCATCACTACACAGTGCTAATAATGTAATAGATGGAGATGATTGCAATAGCTTAGCTGCTGCTGGTGCTGATGCTGTCGCTTGCACTGTCACCTTATCCACCGTATGGTGACTGATGCTGATGCTGCAGATGAATCACTTTGATTTGGTGGGCTGCTTGTTTGTTGGAGGATTTTGGTGATGCTGCTGTTGCTGCCCCTTTCCTTCTTTTATTGTTTCGTGCATTTACGGTGCCTTGATACTCTCGTTGCGCTGGGAAAGGAGCACATGCCACTGACGGTGGTGATAGATGGGCATGAGGGATAATCACTGACTTCCTCCCCTCNCTGCTGCTGTTGCCCTTTTCCTCCTTTATTGTTTCGTGCATTTACGGTGCCTTGATACTCTCGTTGCGCTGGGAAAGGAGCACATGCCACTGACGGTGGTGATAGATGGGCATGAGGGATAATCACTGACTTCCTCCCCTCCCCTCCCCTCTTTTCCCAATGACACTCGCCCTGTCATTGTCGGACTGCCGGGCACAAGTACTCACGCAAGCACAGTCACAGTCACAGCTGTGTGGCAGACACAGTAATGCCAATAATGATGATGATATTATTGCATTGCATTGATCCGTGTATTCATTTNCCCCTCCCCTCTTTTCCCAATGACACTCGCCCTGTCATTGTCGGACTGCCGGGCACAAGTACTCACGCAAGCACAGTCACAGTCACAGCTGTGTGGCAGACACAGTAATGCCAATAATGATGATGATATTATTGCATTGCATTGATCCGTGTATTCATTTCAATCACAATCATCTCTATTTTTATTGCCCCCTCCCCCTCCCCTCTTCTGCACAAGTGCTTTTAGGGCATTTTTTGTTTGTTTCTCGTTCTTGTCACACTTTCCTGGACAGTGTCGTGGTAGCAACAGTATCAAGAACTGTTGTTTACACTGTTTTTCGAACTTCCTGCTCTCTTGCTGCTGCTCGATCTGACAATCGGATCCTCTTATTTGCGGCCAGCTAACAACATCAGTGAGACTTTTTATTTGTTTTCTTTTTTAGCAGCAGCAGCAGCTAAAGAGAGTGCCACCATGTTGCACTTTTCCAAGTGTGCGTAATGCGATCGCAGTGAATCAGTCAGTGTCGGCGATGAATGTGTGCTTAGTTGAGAGAGGGAAAGAGATGGCCAACTTTGTTGTTGCTTTGTACAAACTGACTGACTGCCTGACTGATTAATTGAGAGTGCTGATTACATGATAGCCATCGACTGATGATGACCACACCGCTGCTACTTTACCCCGTTAATAAACTAAGAGAGAGAGAGAGGGAGAAAAGTGGTATCGAGGATGATGAGTCTTGTGATGTGTGGTACAAGAGCAGTAGTTTTTGTCTTCTTCTTTTTTCATGTTGTCCCTCTCTCTTTCTTGAGCTGTCAACGGTCGTTTAGGCAGTGACAGATGTACTGGCTGCACTTCGACTGTACATTTGCTTGCGCAGATGAACGTCATCTTCAGCGCGTCGTCGACGTCGTCTGTTCAAGATGACTGCTGCTGACTTTCGATACATTCGAAACCTGTGCTTCAGAAATTTTCACCTTTTCTTGTGTGCTTGTAGCCTGGCAATTGTTTAATTAGATTTTTTTGCTATCTAAAGTATATTGCACTGAAGTGGTGGTCACACTTGCTTTCAATTAGTGTGTGTGTGTGTGCTAATTCACGTNTGCACCGATCGACTGTACATTTTTTGTTGTGCTCGGACGTCATCTTCAGCGCGTCGTCGACGTCGTCTGTTCAAGATGACTGCTGCTGACTTTCGATACATTCGAAACCTGTGCTTCAGAAATTTTCACCTTTTCTTGTGTGCTTGTAGCCTGGCAATTGTTTAATTAGATTTTTTTGCTATCTAAAGTATATTGCACTGAAGTGGTGGTCACACTTGCTTTCAATTAGTGTGTGTGTGTGTGCTAATTCACGTTTTCCGCTGACCGCTGCAATTGTCTCTGACTGTGATATCATCATCATCATCATCGTTTGAAGATTGAGAGAGTTGCGTTGATGGTAGTGCTGATAGTGCAGCTCCTTTGGATGACACTTTCCTTCTTACTCATCCTCCTGTTTCAAATGAGTGTGTGTGTGTGGGTGAAGATAAAAGGTGAGGTAAAGATCTTTCTCACTCCAACCACGTACTCAATGTCACACAGCACATCTCATTGCTGTAGGTGAGAGAGTACATTAGGTATGCTGATGGTGGTGATGGAATTTTTCCCTAATCAGCTTCCATCAATCAGTCAGTTTTTGTGCTGTACTCGGTTGAACTCTTTTAGGCTGAGCTAAAAAACTGGCGAGATCGTCATCGCCATCTCGCTCTCAGCATCATCAGTTTATCGTGTATCAAATGTCAACTTTCTCCTTTCTTCTGTTTCTCAACATCGTCGAACGATTTCTCGGCGACGCTGCAAACGAGGACTACGACGTCGAGATGTCGATGTCTTACGTTTTTCCCCTTTTCCCTTATCGTCTCT